AACTAGTAGAATGAAATGGCTCCATTAAAAAACAAAAACTGCATAATGGTATTTCTATCTAGAAATAAATCTTACGCTAATAAGGACCATTGGTACTGTAGTTGGAGAGGTCAAAACTTTATAACCTCTATAGTGCAAAAAAAAAAAAATTAAAACAACAAGAGAATTTAAAGTTCTTTTCGGAAATAAAAGAGAAGAAGGAGCAGGAGGAGGAGGGGGAGAAACAAAAGAGAAACTCTGTCTTTCAGTTCCAATAGTTCTTGATGTTTAAAATCTCTGAAGTTTTCTTATGTGTTATGAAAAGCTACAAATTTATCTTTTGCCATTTTCCCAAGGGAAGCTGACCCAAATCCACCAGCAGCAGTTGAAAAGGTTTTTCCAAGCTTTATCAAATGGCCCCAACAGAGACCAGCTTAAAATTAAAAGCTTCCCCTACCAGAGGGAATATATGTGACTTTAATAACTGAAATGTGTTTTTACTTTCTATTACAGGGGTCAAAAGGTTCCTAAACAAACCAAATTTATCAATTATTTAGAGCTGATTTCTTCTGAAGTGGTATTTCTAAGATATTATTTGGTGGATAAATTCAATGTTCTAAGGCCAGCAGCAGCATTTTATTCATAACAAATTTCTCCTAAACTGAATTTGCTGGGGCAACTTAATTTCCACTATCGTGTTTGCACTGTGGAAATATCAACTGAAGTGTTATAGGGCCTAACTAGTGGTCTTTTCAAAGAAAAATTCCATATAAGCATGCTTATTCAGCACCACCCTGCTTGCCATTTATTGCTTAAGAAATGAACTGGAACATTGTGTCTGCAGTAGAATTTCTTTAGCTGCTGAAATATTCTTAAAAACCACAAGGCACCTTTAAAGTCAGGAAACAATGTCTTAAACTACATCCTCACCCTTGCAGCAAAAGAAAATAACTGTCAGAAGTTTTGTTAAAGACATTTTAAAATGAAAGAAAAGACCTATACACACATGTGAGTAAATGCACATTTTCTTAGCCTTCTCTGAGAAGCGAGCACTTTGGTTAGGTTGTTGCGGAAGGGAATTAACAGTAAATTTAGAAAGAGACCATTCTTAATACCTAATAGAGTCCACTGACTATGTAAATACTCTGTTTGTTATACATTAGCTAAACATACATTGGGTTTCTGCCCAAAGTCTGCCATTTGGTGCAGGGAGAAGATGTTATGGAACAGTTCATAAATTCATGTGGAGCCCTGTTAAATGAAACCAACCATCCAAGAGCTGACATTTTGCCATCTTTAAAATAGCTGCCTCTCTTGCAGTAAAACATCAGGTTTATTTATGCAGGCAAATATGAAGTAGTAATGCAATCAAGGTGCCATGGAGGGTTTTGTGTTGTTTTTTTTTTAGAGAAAGAATCTAACTATTAATAAATAAAAATGTTTTGAATAGCTGCTCCTTATTTATACTCAAAAAATTTTTCTTACTGAAAAGTCACATTAAGGAGGAGTACAAGCATCATTTTATGCCACTGAAAATGGTCCCTTTTTTCTTAGCAATACATGCTTTCAGAAATATGAATTATTGCTACAAATAAAAACAAACAGGTGAAAGCTCTTCCTCTCTCTTCTGCCTCCCTTTGGGGCAAAAGAATTCTTCTCAAGCATAAGAGATTGGCAAAAAATGATCAAAGTAAGAGAAATTTGATCGAGGCCTGTCTAATAAGTTGTCAAGGAGCTTTTTTATCTCCAGGGGACTGACTCTGCTTCTGTTTCATTTCTGGCTCAGATTATTACTCAGGTTTGAACATGGCTTGAGGATGTTGTCAGATGAGGGCTTGAGGTTTGGTCTGGGGTCTCTGTGCCCTGAAAAGGCCAGATTTTTGAATGGAACTTGAATGGAATGCCTTAGTGAGATTGAACATGTTTTTGAGTACATTAAATGGATAACATGACATTTGGGGTTATGGTCAACCAGGAACTGGAAAGATATTGTTCTGCACCCAAAGCATTTGCATGTCTGTGTGGCCTTCCCCTGCCCAAGGTTAGAAGGGTGTTGAATTCACAATTCATTTTTAGCCCACTGCTGACAGTGACTGAAAGCTACACCATGGTGGTTATTTAGAAGCTTGCATTAAATAAGTGGATGAGCACCAAAATCACCACACTTCTGTCCTTAACAACTGTTAGATTTGTTTTCAGTTCTTCATGTGCACTGGCTTTGCTTTGCTGGGGTCTTTGTCACCAGAGAAAGAAAAGAAGGAAACAGCAGGTATGGCTATGAAAATGTAAATGTGATAATGAGGAAAGCCTGGCAGATTAGCATAAAAACCTAATGTTGCTGAAAAGAGTCTTTCAAGGCGTTGGATGGTGGTACAACTTCAGATCACTCCCTGGATATTTCAGACTCCCTTCTGGACCATAGGGCAAGAAGAGTAATTTGAATTTGCTACTTTGGGATAATGAGGTCCTTAAGCAACCTCAATGTCAGGATAAAAAGACCATTACATTTTGCACTGGAAGGTGCTCTATGAAGTATTTGGAGGCTTTTTTAAAAGGAGAAAGATCTGTAGTAATTTCCTTACACTGTT